ACTGCATGCAGGGCGCTACAACGCGGAGACGCTGCTGCTGGTCCTGGCGCTCATCCACAGCCGCTCAAGATCAGTCGTTTTCGTGCGCGGCAAGGCTGGTGCGTCGGTGGTTGGCACGCGGGGCAGCTGGTTGCAATGCGGCTTTGCTGATGCGTGCATGAACGCAGTACAGGGCTTGTTGCGTCCAAGCAGAGAGGGGCATGCTGCCACAAGGGCGTGTGCGCGCCCGCAGCGGTGCGCTCGCAGCTCGTGCTGCCAGCAGCAACGCCAGGCGGGCCGCAAGCATTGCCCTTGCTGCCATCGCAGCAGCCTAGTAACCTGTATTCCGTCTCCTCGGCATCTTTCATATCACATCCTTCCCGCAGAGAACGATCTGTTCTCCAACGGTGCCGACCCCGTCTGCGGGCCTGGCACCCTGGCTGACAGATTCGCGCGGGCCTGCGGCTGCGCCCCGCAGGCGCCGCGGCGCGTGGCCGCCGTCCTGGGCAGGCAGTCGCCCAGCGACCTGCAGCAGCTGGACGCACGTCGGGCCTCAGACGCGGCGTCCAGGATCGCAAGCCGCCCCCATCTGGCTGGTTGGGCCGCGACCGTGCAGCAGTACCAGGACTACTGCTGCGTCACCGCGGTCGCGCTCCGCCAGCTGCGAACGTGTGTGCAGGTGGGCGCGTGGTTGCGCCACGCTGTGGTGATCTGTCGTAATCGCACCGGCAAGGGCGGCCAGCGACGATGCCTGCAGCTGGCCAACAGCGCATACATTTGCACGGGCACGCGCGCCTCACCTGCGCACCACTATGCTGCGACCCCAGGCGCTGCTCTCCTCTGCGCGCCTGGCGTGCCTGCGCACTCGGCCAAACTGCCTCGCATGCTGAGCTGCACCTGCCCAACAATCCAACCCCACCACGCAAAGGTACCCGAGATGAGCGCCCTGCTGCTAGGCAGCACAGAAATCCGGCTCTACCCGAGCCCCGCAGCTGCGGCCCCGCCCGCCAGCGTCGCCACCGCCAGCGGCGCGCCGGCCGCGGGGTGGCTCCACCCACCCGCCGCGCCCTCCAACTCTGTCGGCGCCATGGGGGCCCAGATCCACCCCTGCGCGCCGGCGGCGTTGGCAGCTTCCCCCGAGCAGCAGAGCCACCAGGCCTACGTCGTGCCGCCCGGCTCGCTGGTCGTGGAGGGCCGCCACTACTGCGGGCCGTGCGGCTGCACAGAGGACGCGCTGATGGTGGACCCAGGGGCGAACGTGTACCGCTCCCTGGCGGGCCCCAGCGGCGTCCCCCCCGGCATGCTCAAGCTTCCGACAGGCGTCGGAGCGGGAGACGTGTGCCGCTACTTTCGCGTCACGTCGAGCCCCTTGGCGTGCGCGCTGCACGGCCCGCAGCCGCCGCTGGCAAACGGCGGCGGGCTCGGC